CCCAGGAGAGTAATCAAGCTTCATAAGCTAGAAGATAGCATAAGAATCTAATTAACACCTATAGCATCTGTTGCTGAAGATTTTTCCTGGCAGATAAATCCTCAGTCCTTGGAGACCACAAACGTTATTTTGGCTCTGCCCAGGTGTGACACAGCTAAGGGTAGTTAAAGGACTCAGCCTCTCCACCTGTGCCTGTTTTCTGGCTTCATCATGGCCCTAACTGATGGGAACTGCCTGGCCGCCTTGATTGCCTGGGCCTACTCTTGCTTCACGTGTCCGCATTCTGCTCTGCCTCTGGATGGCTATTTTTGACTATTGGTTGAGCCACATGTCTAATGAGGAGAAAGGGGTGTTTGATGAGCAGTCTGGCCAAGAACATGGTCATCTGCTATGTGCTAATGAAAATGGACCATCAACAGTACTCAGCCCCAGAGAAGTATAAACGCCTTCATACTTGGTTCTAGAAGAACTGAATAGCCTTTAAACTACGACAGGCAAATCACTACCAACATGCGCTGTTAGAAACCTGAGAGTGGGTGCATCTAGCTACAGAGAAGTAACAAGAGGCTAGCCAGTGACTCAGGTGCGTCCTGGTGTGAAGGGAAAGCAGGGTGAGGGTGGAAACATTTCACAAGAGACTCTGGTTGGCAGATTGGTCCTGAGTGCTGAAAGCAGGGAGGAGATGACACATAGCCCAGGAATCATCCGTGCCAACATGACACTACTGGAATTTTCTTCCTATGGAGGCTTGGACTGATGCAGTGAATAAAGGCTGTGTTCGCCCGAGTCATCTTTTTAATGATACAGATGCTTCGCTCTTGGTATCTGTATCAAAAATAAAAAAAGTAAGAAAAAAGAAAGGAAAATACAGATAAAATAGGGAACTGATTTGTCTCATAGAAAGTGAAGCCTTGAGCTTACAAGGGCTTTTGCCCATGTGTTGATACCACACCACAGATGTCATCTCTTCTTCCTTCTTTCTCCCTTCCTGCCTCTCCTGCCACAAAAGGGGAGAAGAGACAAACCGCTAACAGCATCTGCCATGCTTCCTGTCTTCCTTTGCCCCACTTGGTCCTCTTGTGCTATTTTCTCCCACTGTCTTACCCAAGATCCTTAGCGGCCTCTCAAACCTCCTTCCATCTGTGCTCTTAACTGTTAACAGCTGAGAAAATTAGGTTTAGATCTGACCAGTGGCAAGTTGCTGCTACACTGGCCTGAATTTGTCCAAATGTTGTCAGAAGTGCTGCAGAACCTGTGCCTCCAAGCCACCCCAAGAAAGAAAAAAGAGTGAATGATTTAGGGGCTTAGGGGCCCTAGCTCAAGAGTCAGGTTGACTGAGTGACCTTGAGTAAGTCTTGTCACCCTCCTGAGGCTTAGACTTCACATCAGAAAATAGAAATGATAACAGCACACCTCTCGTACCCCAAGTTGTGAGTCTGAGCGTCCCAGGAGTAGATTATGATTTTGGGTGGAACCAGATTGTATAGACATCAACACAAAACACTGTCTGCTTCCTTTGGCAGTTTGTCTGAACTGGCCCTGGCAGGGTAAGAACATTCAGATTGGCTGAACTGTGGCTGATCTCTCAGTACCAGTAAGGACTTGAACTATCCCCAAGGCTTTGTAAAGTGTCACGGTCACTTAGACCCACTACAGGAAGGTCTAATAAGAAGGATCAGAGACTTCTTTCAAAAAAAAAAAAAAAAATAAATAATAAAAAGGGGGGGGCTGGGGATTTAGCTCAGCGACATAAGCACCTGCCTTGCAAGCAGGTGATCATGAGTTCGATCCCTGGTACCAATAAAAAAAAAAAAAAAAAAAAGAGAGAGACTTCTTTCCTGGAAACTCAAGATGTGTGCAGTGGTCATAATCAATTTCTGGGTTCACTGATGGCGGTCACATTCCAAGTGGGACTCCTCCATAAATCCTTTCTTCTGTCCACTAGAAGTGAGAAATTGAGGTCAGGGAGTCTAAGTGATTTGCCCAAGTCATGGTTAAGTTGATGCCAAGACAGAGTCCTCTCCAGAATCACAGAAGATTTCTCATGCAATGCCAGAACCCTAAGATTAGCAGGCTATGGAAGCCGACTTGGTCCAGATCCTTTAGGCCGGTTAAGCTCGCTAAGAATCAGGTGTGAAATTAATGTCATCATGCTATAGGAAGCAGCATTTGATACACACATTATTGTAGTTGTCATGCACTGACGCAAGGAAAAGAGCCCAAAGAAACAGGTTGATTGGCTCTTACCCCGAACCCTGGGTAATCTGTCTTCTTGTTTGCAAGCTCTATTCTTTCACTAAAGTGAATTAGGGTTAGGCCTGTTGTCTTGGTTCTCCCCAATAATCCTAGATGTGGTCTCCTTTTATTTAGTTTTTAAAAATATTTAACACCTACAATACACTGGATACAAATAATAAAACGAACACTTATTCCCATCATTCGTTGTAAGAAATATGTGCTCCTTCACTGCAATCCCATTCTTTGGTAACCGATTACTGGAGTTTTACATGGATTATTGTCTTTATTGGCTTTACCAGATATGTATGTAAATAATATATTGTTCAGTCTTTCATATCTTTAACCTTAACATAAGTGAAATCATAATGCATGAGCCTTCTTCATTTGCCTTTATTGCTCAAATTATTTTTGTTATTTGTATATTTTGATGCAATTGGAATTCACTCATTTTCACAGCTGAATAGTATGTGACTATGCCACAGTTAACTCCCTAATTCCCCTATTGATGAACAATTAGAGTACCTCTAGAATTATTTTTTCTGTTATGAACGGTACTTTAATTACATTTCACATTCATGACCTTAGGCATACATACAAGTGCTTGACCCACATATGACCTACCCTGGTCATAGGTATACATGTTATTGAATTTATTAGGTAACAAACTATTTCCAAAATGATTGCACCTTATTCTTTTCGTGTTGGCCTATAGGCATTTCAAATTTTCTTTATGGTTGGTTTTGTGTATTTGTTATCTATTAATCTAGTGGTGAACCCACTTCCATGTCCTGAAGAAGGCCTGAGTGTTTCTCATGGTGTATTGTTCTGTGTGTGCTACAGTGTCATGTGTGGCCTCATTCCATTCACACATCGTCCTCTAAGACTTGGTGTCATCAGTTTTTATCCTTGCGTGACTTTCGTGGCAGGCCAGTGAGAGCTGCAGGTGCTTGTGGCAGGCCTGAAGCACTGGGCTGCCACACAGCACATGCAGGGGGCAAAATGTCCAGTCTGGAAAAGTAGACTCTCATTTTCATCATGTCAAACAAAATACAGTAAAAAGAAGAAAGACAAGTGTCTGTAAAAAGAAAAAGCAGAAGTGTAACTCTTACCCATGTCTTTTTCTCTGGGGAAATAAAAAGTTCCCAGCCCAGGTGTTGAGCAGAGTTGTTTTTGGAGAGAAAAGTCAACTGATCAATGGGGTACACTTTACAATAGTTTAGAAGGAGCAAGATGACTATTGTCACTCCACACAATAAAGCATGACCTCTCTGATCCTTGATAGCATTAAATGTGCCTTTACCACATTGGTCTACTTGTTTCTTTCAGCTAAGAATTACGGAAGAGGAGAGGTGGTGATTTAGAGCCCTTTTGGAATACACTGCAAGAAAACTGAGCTGCTAGGTTGGGAAGTAAATGGTTAAGGAGGACAAGTACTTGCATCTTTCTCATTAAACACTGTTGCTGGCCTGGCCTAGTTGGTGGCTTGGCCTAGCAGGAAGGCCCCACCCTCCAATACCTCTGAAATCCTGCTCCTGAACATCTGGTGGAACCGGAAATTCTGATGCAGTTCGTGAATGTTGCCTCGAGAAGTACAGAACCTCTGTTTGTTCAAAGAAGAGACGAGGAGGGAAGAAATTCATCTAAGATTTCCACCTCTACCACTGCTGCTGCTACCTTTCCTCTTTCTCCTTTTCTCTTCCTCCTTCTTTTCTAGCTCACTTGTGTCTGCTCCTCTCTCCCTCTTTCTGTTCAATCAAACCTTGGATCTGTGGCAGGAGAGGTAACTAGGCTCTCTTTTGGCCACACCTCTGTATATTTTTCAGGCCTAGGAGTGGAGTGGTCTCCATGATAAATGTGAGAAACGTGCTTGTTACTTTACATAGGTGATCAGGACATTCCTGCTAGTTTTGTCCTGGTTATTTTCTTTCTCCTTGACCCTGAACTGCCTTCCGCTCTGCAAATGACACATAAATTAGTGGTTTTTAGACCAGGTAGAGGAAGCTGGAAGTCATCCAGGAGGGAAGTAGAATTCTTAGGATGGATCCACCTGCTGAAGGCATGGGGGGGTCCCCTATACTTCATCTCCCTGTCTGTGCTTGCGATGACCCTCTGTGCAGCGTGTTACTGGACATGATGAAAGGATGGGGTGAGCAGTGGACAAGGGTATGAGGACACTGACAAGGAAAGCAGTAGCACTCTGCTCCTAGGGGGCTTCTGCTTGATCTTGGAATTGTATTGTTGGGAAATCGTTAGATTTGCTCTCAGCTGACTTTTGGGTGTATCTTGATTTTGTTTGGAAGCCTTAGACTCTCAGCAAGGTAACTCCTGACCCTGCCAGCAGATAAGTAGGCCACAGAGTTTGTGATGGAAATCATCTCTCCTTTCTCAAGTCACCTGTCTCAATGTAAACTTGCACATAGAATTGTCCATCACAGTAAACAAAACTCAGGAAAAAAAGACTCACTGAGTAAACTGTTTCTACTCTTTCCTGCCACCCTGATATCTACTATAAAATTCCATTTTCATATAATGGTTCTATAAGTGGAAAAAAACTTATCCATGACTTTATGCAAATAAGCAGAAAGTCCCCAACGGTCACCCAGGTGGAAATGATTATACTATTTCTCATGAGTCAAGGAAGTTGCAGATGTCAGCTCCATACCTACCGAAAACAGGGACTGTATTTGGTACAAACAAGAAGTAGTGACCAGCCAGAAGCTTGTCCAAACCTGTTTATTTAAAAAAAAAAAAAAAAAAAAAAAAAAAAAAAGCAGCTGAAAAATTTGCATGCCTAGTAGGTTTTACTATTAAAGTGTACACAGCGTGGAGTAATCCGCCGAGCTGGCTGGCTACCCAGATCACATGATTACGTAGCAACGTGAAACTTGATGATGTGCTCCGGCAAGTTTTACTTCTCCCTAGTGCAGGCGTGTTTGCTGTGCTTGGCTTGCACGCTCAGAAGTCAGACTCCAGCGACTGGAGCGCTGGCAACCAGAGCGTAACATGCTGCTCCCTAGGAAAGCCGGGAGCTGCTGACATTACCACAGAACAGTGACTCGTGTACCTTACCAAAAAGAATGGATAAGCTTAATAAGATAACTGTCCCAGCCAGTCAGAAGTTGAGGTAAGATTTTTTTCCAGTCTGATTTTAGCCTTCTTTTCTTTTCCAATGCATTTCTGGCATCTCCGAAGCAGTGAAACCTTGGAATAGTTTGCCGGTTCAAAGAGAGTAGGTGGCATTTGCTATGGGGAAGTAGCCTTGGGTTTTTAAAGAAATGTGTAGGAGCAAGTGAGCCAGCCCTGATGGCTTTTGCCAGTGATACAGTAAAGCGTAAACCTCGGGAGAGTAATAAAATGTCAAAACCAACGGCTGGAACTCTACCAAAGGTTAGCTTTCACTACCATAAACTTTGTTACAGAATAGTATGTGTGTACTGAGTCTGAACCCATTTCATTATGGATTATTTCTGAACTTTAAGAATAGTTGTCATCACTCACATTTATTATAGAGTAGTTTTATTGTCTCTTATTTATTTTATGGGCATTTATCACCTGTTCATTGGGGAACTCCATTGCTTGTTCCAGTGCCCTCCACACAGTGTGATCGTTATTTAAAGAAAAAACAACTTAGGAAGAATAAACTAGGAGTGGTCCAAGAACAGGAAGCAAAGAGCTAAAGAAAAGACAGCTTCCCAAACTTTTATTTCAAAGATCTTTTTGTCTCATTGAAATGGCCCTATGAGTTTTGGAGATTGGAACTTTTAAATGTCTAGGAAATGTCTTACCTTCTGACTTTGTACTGTCATCCAGGTTTCTGTGGGGTTATATAGACACAGGTAGCTGATAATTACCCAAAGTGTTTCAGAGTAGGAGACTCCAGAGTCTTTGAGACAAGATTTAAGAGAATTTAGCTAGGAATTGATAGCCCTTCACCATTAATATATGAGTCTGGTCTCCTACCTAGTCAGGGCTTTATGAGAGGCAGATTGAGGCTCAGCTTTAGCCAGTCATTGTCAGAATGTTCTGTAGAAAGCTGCAGAGCCATCCGCACGACTGGAACAAGAAGGCACCACAACTTCCTTGTTCTCTGTTGCTGCTCTTACGGAAGGTGGCAGGTAGAACGTGAAACAATGAAGAAGTAAGAGACACATGAATGTAGACGAGAACTGGAGAAGCTGTAGAAGGTTTTATGGAAAAGAGGCTTCAAGAGCTTGGCTTGGAGGAGCAGTTCACATAAAGAGTCGTATAGCTGGAGAAAGAGTATTAGGTGCTGGGAAGGAGGATATGCAGGGCTGACATGGGTATAGTCCCTTAGAGGAATGGTAAGTTTTCTGTCCAGCAGAGGCTGTAGACAGAAGCCCATGTGGGACCAAATGTCCTGACCTGTTTAAACACATGAAGTGAAGCCAGCTGAAAAGGACTCTAACAGGAGAGTGAGTTGCCATGACTGCAGCCTTAAGGGACGTGGGCAGGATGGATAGGGCGGAGGAACCTAGACCAGGGATGGAGGGTGAGCATTTAAGTAATGCAGCCATCTAGAGCTGAAGACCTGGAGCATGTCGGTGAGAAGGGAAAGAAGAGAGGTAAGGAAGATACGGGAAAGAAATTAACAAGGCACAAATATCAGGGCTTCTCTAAAAGAGAGCTCCAAAGGTCCGTTTAGACATACTCTGCAGCTTAAAGCTACACTAAGCCCTATGACCTCTTTCAGGAACTCAGATGGAAATCTAAATAAAAGAAAGCAATAGAACTAAAATTGTTTTATGATCCCTCTTTCTGGGACAAAGTCCAGCTTGATCACAGAGTGGTTGATAGGCAACATGAAACCATAGATTATAGGATAGAAAACCAAAATTATATTGAGGATAATCATACACTGCACTCATCTGCTTAGAGAAAAGTAACTTTTTTCCCACTTGGTCTACTTTCGTAAGACAAAATTGGCCTATTTTTGTAAAATGTGCACCGTAGATGTGGAACTTTTCAAAGAAATAAAATTGTAAACACAGCAGACTCAAGCACCACTAAGTTTTCTTCTGTAATTATATGACACGATGAAAGATAAATGAAATATGTGTCCCCTATGACTTAAGTCTTCTCAGGGGGAAAACGTATGTTTTCTCTTCTTGCCTACCTGTGTAATTATTCAGCAACCCAGATGATAGTATAAGTGAACAGTTATGTTTATGCTGTTAAGCCTATCAAAGCACACATGAGAATTTGTTTAAATTCTTAGCCAAAAAATAGAGACAGTGAGTGTTCATTCAAAGGGCTAAATGCAATGACCCTGATCCTAGGAGCAGACTTCCAGGGCTGGAAAGAGACTGGAGGCAGGAACAACCAGGAGGACAAGATCAGAGTGAACCAAGGAAAGGACTGGAAGGAAGTAGGGGTTCTAAAAAAAAAAAGGATTGGAAGGTGACAAAGTGGTGGGGGTGGGACACAGGTCCACATTGCTGGGAAGGGTGCTCACGCTGAAAGTTTAGGGTAGAGCCGAGACAAGAGGAGGCTACACTGCATCTGAACACAGAGCTGTGTCCATGTGCTTCTCACTTTCATTCCCACAGAGGCACGATGTGGAGCAGGCTTTCTGTTAGGAGGAGTTCATAGACTCTTAAGATCTTTATTTGACTCTTAGCATGATTTTTATAAGGTAGTGATATCATCAGAAACCCAGCTGAGACCTATGTGCTCAATTTTTTAACAGTAAACCTTTCTATGTTCATAATAATTTCACACTTGTAGGCGAAAACTTTTAAATATATGATTCTGAATCACATTGAAATTCATTCCTTTCAGGTTAGGGAAATTAATTTCAAGGGGAAATTCTATGTTTTTAATGACTTCTCATTTATTTCATCATCTGTATGTATCTCTCTATGTAGGACATGCAAACACATCGTCACTTACTTCTACAAGTAGAAAGGTCTTTAATAAAACTTTGGTCAAATAAAGTCTCCCTAATCCTTAGTTTAGTAATTAAAAGGTATGATGTTTTTCTATCAGACAAAACAAGGTTTTTGTGACTTTAGGAAAATAATCTACTTCATCTCTCCCTAGTTTCTTTACCTATAAGGTAAAGATCATAACAAGACAATGTTATATAGTAGTATAGGATTAAATAATTGTGTTGTAAAACATTATGAACCTGACCCACAATAATTATTAGGTTTTAAAAATTATAATTATTTATATCATCATCATTTTTATTCATTCTATAAATGTTCAATTTTTCAAACATAAACAGAACACTTTACATTGAACCTCCTGGTAAATTTCATGTTAGTCTCATTGTTTCTTTCTATTCTGATTACTTTTTCTATTGCTTCTGACATCTGTAGAATTTAACTGCGCGTAGATTGTATACATGACAAATACTCCCCCAGCCCCCACTGAAATGGCTAATAAACTACTGAGCATGATGAGTGCTGCTGAGCATGTTTAGATTCAAGAGTGTTCACCCTTATCTGAAAGATTCCAAAATGTGCCTTTTCTTCCCAGTTCTTAGAATTTTAGTTGGAGTTTTCAGTTCGTGAATTTGCAGTTCTTCGGAAGCAGATTCTATTTGTTTTCACCTCTATTCCAGCAGTTCCCTCCCTGGTCCTTCCTGTTTCAGTCAATGGTTTCATGATCGAGCCTAACTCTGACTCACCCTCTCTGAACCTCCTCTCATACCCACTTGCATATGATGCCCTGCAGTTTTTCCTTTTTGGGACTTCTAGCTTCTAGTTTTCTCTCCTTTTCCCCCCACTACACTCGGTAGGTTCTCATCCCCCCCTCTGATTAGGTTTCTCACTTAGTAGAGGAAACAAATAACTCCTGAAGTCCCTTCGGCGCCAATGCTATGAGATCTTGTGAGCACAGAAATTATGCTCGATAAGTTACATTCTCTGAAGCTATCATTTTATCGCAATACCCTAAGGAAACATTCCTTGATGTATTTACAAGCATGGTGCTGGTGGAGTCCAAAAAGGCTGATTCCAATTGCCTGGAACTAGCCATGGATTCTTAACCTCTCTAAGCCTTGCCTGTGGATGTGCTTTCTTTACTTGTTTATTGTGAAAAGCAAAAACCACACGGGCTAAAGGACCCAGAATGTTCCTTGGTCAGTACTACCAGTATATAAACAAGATAAACCCAGCAACAAGGACCTCAGCTCACACCTGTGTGTGCTTATTTGTTCTCTCTTTTCCTTTTTCCACTAATGGATCCAATATCCTTCAACTCAGGCATCCAGCAAAACATGGAGCTGCAAGAGGAAGCAGGAAGAGTGGTAGAGATGAGATAGACCTCCCGGCCATTGTGTTTCCCCTTTCCCACTGCCCGCCTGTGCTATGTCACCTGAGAACCCACTCCACTTCCCACGTTGTGTCCCACTGGTAGATGATGTATTCACAACAGCTAGATAAGCACTCCTCCCTGTGGGAAAACTACCTAGGAAGCACATTATTGGAAATTTCTTGAGTGAGAGTGAAGTTCAGAGTGCTCAGCAAAGAGAATTCAAGGCAATTCTTTCACCAAATCTGTGCATAACTATGCCTAGAAAACCCTATGCTGGAGCTTACACATCTGAGCTACTCTTTCTCTTGTATCCAACAATTGTTTGTGTGCTATGACTGAATAACTCCTTCCCCTTTATGCAACCCATCTCAAAGGAGCTGAGATGCAATTAATTAGGTTTCAAGAGCTGAGCCACAATTACATGCCAGCTTTGCCCCCTAGATTACTAGACTGGAGGAGACTGGTCAGTATCAAATGCTTCAGGAACACGCTTGCAATCGATTCCTTGAGTTTTCCCCCAATAGAATATGAAGCAAATTCAATATGTGGAGACTATACGAGCTTGGTTTATCTGCAGGGATGACCTCATTATTGCCCTTCTGGGATAACATCAAGGAGTCTGAGCTTGCCAAAGAACATGCAGAATAGAGCAAAGAGGGATAGAAATCCTAAGTGATAGCTTTCTTGGGCTAGGAATATGGATCAACTGTAGAGCACTGGCCAAAGCTCGGAAAGGCCCAGCACTACAAGAAGAGGGGGATGGGAGGAAAGGGGAAGAGAGGGGAGGAGAGGAAAGAAAAGAGGAATAAAAAGACTCCATAGGAACATCTTTCCCAGCTTTCT